TAGTGCAGACAATAGAAACAAATTCATATATATATTGAAATATTCACTGGCCTGAAGCCCACATACAACCTTCATGTACCTTTTTCCTCTTTGGCAAAATCACACTACAGGTAATGACCAAGCACTCTCTGTAGATTGGATGATTTCATCCTTCAGCATCTGATATACCTCAGTACTGGCTATACTTCTGATACCCCAAGGGATCCAGCTTAACAGGATATGTATCTCTAATATCTGTATGGTGTTTGTTCTTCCTAGCCGACTCTGTCCCAACAAATGTATCAGCAAGTTCCATGAGTAACATTCCAAGATTTCTCTGCTGATCTGTATTTAAATTGTCTGCACAGACTTTGATCAGCGGTCTTAGGTGTGCTAGCAACTGTGTGTTTGTCACTATTTTCAGCCAAAGTAACACTAGCTACTCCTCTAGTTTCCACAAGTTCTCCTTCACATACCATACCTACGACCGTTTCAACTGGCATCTCCACAGTTTTTCTACCACATTTAAAAACCATAATCAGACTGTACTTTGCTCTAGGAACTATAACTGTTTGTGCAATTGCTGCTTGTTTTGCAAGAAAGCAGTGTTTCAAGATTACTTGGTGGTGCTACCTGAGATTGAGTTGTAAGTTCACCATGAAACATCACTTGTGTAGTAAATGGAATTTTAATGGCAATGTCCATATAATATACACTCATGTAAACCACTGCATTTTTGGCCAACGTTTAATGGTTTCATCCCAGAACTGCAATTCACTTGGTATACAGCCTATACTAATAGATAACATACGTAGGACACCTAAACTTAAAACAATAACTGATCTAAGATTTGCTACCCTTATTCTCATAGATAAATTGATGTAACCCAGACAGAGCTTCTTTGTTTACTGCCAGCCAATCACTATCTACCAGTCGGTGTGGTGGTTTACATGATAGTGACTGATACACCAACAGATCAAGAAGTTTTAATGACAACTGTGACAATTAAAAATTCCATTTTGCATCTGTGTAATTCTACAGGCACATACCCAGCCACAGGTGTCATAAGGGCCATCAAACCCAAAGAAACAGTAAAATCTGATTCAGATTGGTTGTTTAAATAAGTAGACCTGACTCAGACTGCATTCTGCACTGATCCTGTTGCTAATTCTTAGTCTATGTGGGTTTCTGTGGATAGAGACAATGGGAAAGAACACTGCTGCCTGCAGTTACAACAAGTGTTTATCCTGTCTTTCCAACCATATCATGAGCACAACTGGCACATCATGTTCGTGATATTGCTTTCACAAATAAATGTTAATTACACTTGTGGTTGAAAATATCATTAGCAGCAAAGATACCCATATGGTAAAAACAATGCATTTTGATCTTTAAAATATAAATGTAAACTTTTTGTTTGTTTTAGTGCAAAGACACATTAGTCTAGCTGTTGTGTACACTGTGGGGAATCAAACCCTATATTTTTGTGTTATAAATCTGTAATTTTACTACAGACCAGACCCACCTGGACAGAAACGTAAGAAAACTTATTTAATTAGTTATACTGATGGCCAAGTTGATTTTCAGTTTTGCACTAAGTACATACCTTATTCTGATCAGAAGTTATTATTATTTTCAAGTTGTCAGTAATCCTATTCTACAATCAAATATAAATATTATTTACAGTTAACAACACGACTAAATTCCTACTACACAACCAAAAGTAACTGTTACTCACACTTCAAAATGTTTTTATATTCCTGTTATAGTACTCGGAACTAAGCATTTTTTAGTTTTGATTTGACAATATTCCTATCACACAACATAAAAATGTTATTTAAACTTTAAAACACATCAGTATTCCTGTTACTAAAAATAAAAGTGTACATTGATTTCTAAATTGTTGAGTTTTTTTTGATACAATACTTAAGATAAAGATGAACATATTACATGAATAAGTGGTTTGGTTTGTTTCAAATTTCACACAAAGCTACACGAGGGCTATTTGCACTAGCTGTCCCTAACTGAGCAATGATAGACTATAGGGAAGGCAGCTAGTCAATAACCCCCATCACCAACTGTTGGGCTACTCTTTACCAACGAATAGTGAGATTGACAGTCACATTATAACGCCCTCACGGCTTAAAGGGTGATCATGTTCAGTGATCGTGAATAATTGTTATTAATGCAGGTCAAGAATTTCATCAAATTCTTCATACTTTTTTTTCTTTATTAAGCACAAAGCACACAATTGACTATCTGTGCTGTGCTAAGTTTTTAGCATTATAAGCTCTCAGAATTACTGCTGAGCCACCAGGAGCATTCTTCATGCTTTAAGTTACATCATTATAAACTTTAAGAAATCCTGATAACTAGGTTTTTTTCTAAGAAAATTTCTAGTGTTGTTAAAACACTGTACAGCATACAAGCACTACACGAGTCTACCTTGGGCTTTTAACAGAATTTACCACTAATTATCATTTTTTAATGTGTGTTTTTCATTGTTATGCCCTACCAATAATATTAATAGAAACTGATTAGGTTATACAAATGTTTGAAGCCTTACTTGTGCATATTCAGAAGAAATTGAAATTAATTGTTAAAAATATTAATAAAAATAACCACATACTTATATTTCACCACTATCTGTTTTGTTGTAATATGGGGTATGGAAAAGTGAAACACCACCATGACTTTTTTAAAGTTCTGCCCTTAATTTTTTGAAATGTACACTGTTGATATCATGTCATTCTCTCAGGAGGAAGGAGTCTAAACTGAACCTGACCCACCCAGGATGCAATTACATACCGATTCATTATGGCTTATCTTCTGTAGCAGTAACAGTTGCATGGGCTGTTGTGGTCCACTGCTGCAAACCTCCCATGTCATTTAATTGTGTAAGAAACACCAAATGTTTAGAGTACTTCCAAAAAAGAACCAGTCTAATAGTGTAAGATCTGGATAGTATGCAAGCCATGCTATTGGCCCTATTCATCTGTCAAAAAAATCAACATCCAGGTATTACCTGCCATCTAATGTGCAGTGTGATGGCACACCATCCTGATGGTATGTTTTGCAAATCTGTTATTGGTAGTCCAACATGTTCCTGCAAAATACAGCAAGGCATCCTTCTCCAATCAGTTTCTTGTTGGAAAAAGCCACCCTATTAGGAGACAAAAGTCTGCTGTTCAGGATGCCTCAGATTCAATGTTGTCAAAACCTGCTACTAATTCAGTCCAGGTTTCCCACACAATAGAATCAGTTTCACCTATTCTTGCAAGGTTAATGATGACATCCAAAGAATCATTGTCAGAGTCAAGAAAGAGGAAATTACTGAAACATCAAAATGGCTAAAAAAAATAAAAGTAAGGGTTGGACTTGGAGATATTCCACACCATATGTAGTTTAGAACTGCAGTGTTGAATTATTTCAGTTCTCATCAGCTCAGCTGATGTACATTCATCATTTTGCCATATAAGCACAAAGCTACACAATGGGCTACCGGTGCTCTACCCACCACAGGTATCGAAACCCGGTTTCTAGAGTTTTAAGTCTGCAGAAATACCACTATGCCACTGGGGGGCAATGTTTTAATTATATGAACTTTTAACTGATCTTTTCTTTTGAATCATCATAATCCTATCAAATCGAAACAACGTACATGGGTACAGGTGCTAATATTCCTGTATTGATTGAGGCTATTTAAAATGAAGGGTAACATGAGAGTGTAGTTGTTCTAAAGTTTTAAAATATTTTAGTGAAACTCTTGATATTTTGACTATAGATGTAAAAGGTTAAGACTATAGTATTAGAAATTAATTATTTTCCTAAAAAAAAAATAGCAGAGAGAGAACACTAGAAATTAAAATTCCAATATGCAGCAATACAATGCATCTCTTTATTAAGTCTTTTGACTATTCACATGTTACACACTGTATATGATGAAATATACAGGTAATAATTTTCATTCTGACTTGGTGGTGTTAAGATCAACCTTTCACTGAGTAAATGAGACTTTGTGAAATTATATACATGAACAAAATAACGCTAACAAAATAAATACTATTTTCCAACCCTCACTAGCAGTACTTAAAAACAAAGAAAAAAGTCAAGAAAATGCTATTTCTTTTTCTGGTACTTAAACAATCAAATGATAATTTTACATAAATAAATAGTGCTATATCACTTAAAAGTTTTTCCTAATACCATTTTTATAAGCAAAGATTTTGAAACTTAAGTAAATCCCTATGCCATGTCATACACATCAGAAACGATATTAATTTTTTTCATAAAGTTTTAAATCTTTGGTTACTTTACCTTTCAGATATCATTAAAGTTTTACAGCAGAATTATTATTTTTCCTAGCACCCCGATATTATGAGGGTTTTAGTTTTCTAACAATGCCAAATATAAAAATGATATATACTTTCACGTTTATTTTAATGTTACCCTAACATGAAAAACTTATTGTATATTGATTTTAGCAGATAGAACATCAGCTTATCAAGTCTATTATCTGTTTTTATATCTGTTAATCTTTGAACTTCATTAGCCTATACAGTTTTGATATTTGGAAAGCACATATGATCATGAAAGTAGTTAAAACAAAAAGTACTAAAACCCAAGTGTCTTAAGAAGATGAAACTATCTTCTAAATCTATTCATGTTACTAAATTTCTTGAAATATATTAGAGAGTTAAGAATGATCCCATACTGCAACCACATTAGAAAGTGCTTTCATAAACTACTTTCTTCCAATTTGAGCTTGAAACAGAGCTATAATAATATAATTTGAAAACCACTAGTCTTTTCAATTTGCCTATCAAGTTTGATGTCAAACTTCAATAATAATAATAATAAGTAACTCTAACCTATTAACCATTGTCTGTTTATTCACCTTGGTGAGTATCTGCTAGAAGATCACATTTAAATCTCATTATAGAGATTTGATACCTTCTTAACATTTTATTTTCACCCTTTAGATGATTTAATTTAAAATTATCAAAACAAAATGCTTGTAATTTTATTTTGTTTTGTAAAATATTTTTTTTATACAAAAATTGTTTTACATTGATGTAATCAATATATATATTCATAGCTCCATTATCAGATGTTGAACAATAGGCAGTGTTTATGCATAAAACTGGGCAAAGGTAGAAGAATTTCATGACTTCTTTGGGATTTTCAGGACATTTTACATATAATGTATTAGGAAATGAGGAATGCTTGTCCAGGTTACTTTCCTATAATGTTCTTCCAGTGGAACAGACACGAAAATTTCAAGGTTTACACCAACATGTGTACCATTGCAACAGAGAGCTATTTTCGATGTTTTGCATTACTGTTTTTATTATTTTAAAAACCATAAACCTAGTTCAATAAAAAATTAAACACAGGAAAATTTTTATTGAAGTGTACACTATCAATTTTATCAAACATCATAAACTTTCCTTCACTAATTTTTTACGACTTTACTAAAACAAAAACTTGAGTTACCAGGCTTGGTATGGCAGAAGAAACAGGACCTTCCAAAAATTTCCAACCAGAAGACACCTTGAAAACTAAATATATGTATATAAAGTTATCACTATAAAAATGTTAAAAATCACTGAGTGATTTCTGCACAGAATCAATAAATTTCAGAAATCCATTTTGAACATGCAATTTAATTTACATAGCGCCTTCTCACATGACACTACAAAAAAACAAGTTTCTTGATTTTATATTTTTTACATTTGTACACGTATCAATATATTTTGGGTTATAAAAATGTCTTTTAGTTTTATGATCATAACTAAAATAAAATTTATCATGTAGTTGCCCAAAGATCTTCTATGCTATGATTGATATCTCGTAGAACATCCAAGTTTTTCAAGTTTTCTACATAAAACGTTAACTCTTGAGTGACTATCCTGTTACAAAAAAAAAACAAGAAGAGTTAGTTTGCATCAGTTTATGTACAATCAATATTGTAGTAAAGTTTAAAACCAATAATATTTACCAATACAATCATATAGAGAGCATTAAATCATAAAATATGTAATGTGCAATTTTACATAAACTTTTATTTACTCGTGCTTCATTCTTATATGTCTATACACAAACAGAAATTAAACATATAAAGAAGTAATATATATATAGTTTGCTACTAAACACGTAAAATCATTTACACAGAAAGAAAAATAATAACTTGTGTTGTAGAATTTGTTCATAGCAACACTTTTATAGCAGAAGTGTACTTCGGATTATCTAATTTTCCACTTTGATTTTACCACTTGGGTTTTGCTCAACTTGTAGTGACATAGACTGAAACAAAAACATTTAGAGAACACTACTTTTACAGTGTTATAAAATTACAGTTTCCAAAATCCTTGAAACATAATAATCCTTTAGAAATCTTATTAAGATAAAGTATAAATATACGTTCTGTATGAACCATGTTTAAAACCTGTTTGCAATTTTTAGTTCATTACTGTATAAAGTACTATTCAAAAGTCATGCTCCATATGGGAGTATACAGAAAGTGATCAGCTGTAACTTTACAAATGTTATGTGTTGTAATACAGTTAACCATTTTCCATTTATTCCTATTCAGCACAACTTTCACTGATACTTTATTTCTTACCCAGTGTGCTTGTTAGATGAAAACAAAACTATTGAAAAAAATTTAAAATAAAATTCAAAAAGGTACTTTTGCTTCTACTTGAGCTATTTTTCCTGATTTTTCCAGAACTTAGATATTGTACTTTCTCTACTTTCCAATATCATGATTCTGCTTTTTATGTAATGTTTGTTCACAGTTTTTATTGTATTATCTGTAGAACGGTTGTCTTGCTGGCACATGGTATTACTTCATCTGCTGTACTCTTGGTATCTTGATGTGGAAGAACATTGGGTTGGTAATACTAACAGACAGCACATGCTTTTAAATGTTGTTTATTAAAAAGATATATTCTTTCTATTATTACTTAGAGCAAGAGTAAAAGAAGCAGAGCTTGTCAATAATCCAGTGTCATTCCCGTAGCCTACATTATCATAGCAATGTGAATAATATTCAATTCACAGCTTGTATCTATCTTGCTAATCATTACTTGTAGTGTTTTAGCCAGATCTAGTGTCAAAAGTATGTATACTATGTCCATTGGTACTACATCATAATAATCTTGCTGTATGAATATTTTTTCTTCAGAAATACTTCTTTTTTTTTCACATTCTTTTAGGCATAAGTCTAGCCAAAGTTACAATAATATATACAAATCACCCAAACAAAGTGTTTAACCCTCGGTTAACATGCATTATTTTGCCAAATAAGGAGAAGGATGAGAAAAAAAGCATAAAAGGTCAAAATCTTGATAAAATTAAAAGAAATAGCTTTACATAATAGATTAGGCAATAATACCTATTTTCAAAGTTACTTTTTTATACATATTTCAAATCATTATTTAACTTTATGCTGTTTGAACATAAGGTTACTAAACTCTGACAATGTGTTTCTTATATTGCCATATGTAGTATCACTTTTAAAATCTACTTCTTTTATAAATACATCAGCCTCTGTAACCTAATAAGTTTGTAATATTAACCAACATTTATAATACTGGTAACATAATTATTTTTAGTACTATTATTATACAAACAATATTCAGGTTAATTTCAATACTGCTTACCCTTGTTGTGGTCCTCCATCATTCCTTATATGTAATCTGTTGAGATGACCCTGTAGTGCAACTTTAAACTTCAAGTTAGCTTCATAGAAAATATCTTGCAACTGGTCAGGAGGTAAAAGATCTGAAACTGCTTCATGAAGTTTATTGAGTTGTTTGGAAATCGCTCGAAAACAAGATGAAGGAACGGGTGCTTTAACTTCCCACTGTTAAAAACATATATTTAGTTGAAGTAACAGGTTTGAAAACAAAAAATAATATCAAATTCCAAATTAAAAGTTATCTAGAGTTTGTGTGTATTGTTATTTTAGTTATATTAAATATATCTACAGTATTAAAGATATATTCTGAAGTCTAGACAGAATGGCGAGACAAGATGAGCTCTTGAGCAAAAAATAAATAAAAGCTCATAAAACATAGTGAACAAAATCTTATTCAAAGAAATTTGAGTTTCCTTGTTACAATTATACAAACATACGTAGGGAATATTTTTCTTTTCCAAATATGTTTGTGAAATAAACAAAGTAAAAGGTTTACTTTCTAATGCAGGGATCTAGAAATTAAAAACACATGACTGGATGATGTAAGTACAATATCTTAGAAATAATACAGGCCTATAACTTTTCATAATAGACTATTTTGGACATAGGTTACAGTTAAACACCTCAAAAGAAAAAAATCTGGGAAACTAAAAAATTATTTATTTTTTTCATATTTGAATTAACAAATTAATAGACAAATGATAGTACAGGACCAAACCTACTACAGGTAATCCCAAGTTCAAGAAACATGCCTATTCTTCCTCTGAGTTTCATGTATTAGCCATATATCAACATTAGCAAATATAGAAATACCAATACATCCTAAATATTTATACCACTTACTATTCCTAACTGATAGTTTCTTATCATTTACCTATAAATATAATATATTAATTAGCAATTGTTTAAATATATTTAACAATAGTATACCAACCATTATGGCTTTATCAGACACACAACAATTGCCAATTTTTTTTTTTCCAAATTTAGAACAAAAATCACCTATGCTCACTACATGTAATAATAAACTATCACTTTCCATACATTAAGAACATGTAAATAAATACAAAAGTCATATAGTATCAACTTTGAAACCCATAGTGAAAAACAATAATAATGTTATAAGTTATATTAAATAAATAAGCCATGTGACACACAAACAACCCACCAATTAGATATATAAACACTCTTAACTCAGGAAAAAAACACTCATTTCTGTCACTAAATAATCTTCTTCTCACAAACAATGGTAAATCTACTGAGTATGAATAGAGCAAGAGCTATAATGAGAAAAAAAACTAATTTGAGATACTCATGTTTTGTCTTATGATTATAGCGAACATAACATTTTCATGTTATTATATCTTTTTTTTTTTAATTAAAACTCAGAAGTATACTGTTTTCATAGCCATGAAGTATCAGGGACTTTACTCAGATCTTTTGCTATTTTTTAGTTTGGTAAGCCTTTTTAATTAGATACTTTGATGCCCAACTTTTGTAGAGGAAAATGTGATAGGAAACAGGAATTAGTATCTAAGAAGTCTGGTACTTTACAGAATCATTTGTAAAGCACATAGAAAATAACCTTGAGTAATAATTTTTAACAATATTTTTCTAAATAATGCAAAAGAATTGTATATAAATACTAATTAGCAAATTGGAACTTGGAAGCCTTGGTCTGAAAGTATTTTCTATGTTGCAGAAGACTTAACAACAGTGGTCAGGCTGATGTTTGTGGTCTGGAAAAAAACAGATGTGTCCTTAACACTTTATATATTGCACTTTTCTACTGATAGTTGGACATTTTCTGGCATAGTTCTACAGCATTTTTTTCTTCTTTCAAATAATCTTCATCTATCTTCTATTAACTAGTTAGTAGAAATTATATTTGTGAAATATAAAGTATTTTGTGTGTATTGATACTTGGTTACCTCATATTGTGCACCCATGTGCAATGAGAGAAAACATCTTATTTGTTTTGATACTTGACTACCTTATATGACTGATATGATACTCTTCTATAAAATGTACACTACGAATCGTGGTAGTGATATATTAAAACAGTAAAAATCTACACTATGAATTGTAATAGTGATACACTAAAACAACAAAAACCTACACTATGAACAATAATAGTGATACACTAAAACAGTAAAAATCTACACTACAAAGAGTAATAGTGATATCCTAAAATAATAAAAAATTGTGCTACTAATGATAGTAGTGATATATTAAAACAGTAAAAATCTACACTGACTAGGAATGATAACAGTGATACATTGAAACAATAAAAACCTACACTATTAATGATAGTAGTGATATATTAAAAATGTTAAAACCAACACTATGAACTTAACATTAATGTTCCTTAGTACTAAGTGAATGGTACTTTGCTGACACTCACATCTTTAGTTCAGCATCATATATAGAATTTAAATATCAAGTTTTCCAGCTAGAAGTTAGTATGTCTATTTGACACCAGTGGTTAAAATTTGTAGGTGAGACTTGTTATTTTAATGAAGGTCTGAGTAAGTTCATTAAGGTATATGTTTACAGTTGTGATAATATAATTTACAGTAAAGACAACTGAACCTCTAAATATCCACACACAAAAGTAATATTAATCATTGGAGATACATGTTCTAAAATTTTTTTTTTCAGAAAAACTGTACTGATATTTCAATATGCTCCCACAGCATTTCTTTCACAGTTTCACACAATGGTTTAGAAATTCTTGAGCAACTCTGATAGAACACTGCAGCAACTTTAAAGTTAAAATGATGATATCTTATTATACTTGCTAAATAGTTACTGTATAAGTACAATGTAGATTTTATCTTCTATATCTGAAGACTTGTTCAAAAACAAGATGTGGATGTTACAATATTCTGTGGATACTTACTTTAGAAAGTTGCAATTCGAACATGTGGTCGATGATAGTAATAAGCTTGTGTACAATTTCTTGCGTATGATTAGTATAATCCTGTAAATGCACAAAAATAAATACATAATTACTGTTCATTAACATCTTTTGTAATAAAAAATATCATAAAAAAGGCTTGGTAAAGTTACGATTTTTTATTTCTGAGCAAGATGTTTAATGCTAGCAAGAAGAAGATAGTAATCAAAGTGAACTAATGACTGTTGAATATAAGAATAATTTAGATAATTCATAGAATAAAATTGAAGATCATGACACAGGTCTAAAATTTAGAGCCATGTGATTAAACATTTTCCCCAGTAATGGCACGAAAGTGTTATATCAATATAAATATAATCATACTGTCTGTTGTATGTCCATGTAACTGCTTCGCAGGGTGTAGATGGATCATCACCAAAATTGGTGTGGAGGTTCATTAGGTCCATGGAGGGATACATAAAAATTTTCAGTTTTGCATTTTGCAGTTTTATGGGCATTTTGAGTTTTTTCACCACTACTTTGTCCCCTGTTGATGGATCTTCATCAAATTTTGCATGAAGGTTTGTTGGGTACATGCAAATTTGTGTTTTTTTTGTGTTTTGCAGTTTTTATGAGCATTTTTGCATTTTTTACAATTACATACAAAGGAAGCAACTTTTCATGTCCTAAGATAACCTTTCATTAATCATGAATTTACATAACTTCCATTCAGGAGACGGATACTCCAGCTAGTGACTAAATAATCTATGGTTTTAAAATACTATTTGTACTACAAGACCTAATGTAAGTTTCCTTTTGTTTTTCGCAACCAAGATGCTTGTGAATTCACATAATGTACTTAAATACATTTAATGTTCATTAACAGTTTTCTCCAATCCATAATTTAAACTTCTTTTGTGTCTTTCACTCATGTCACAGTTCCTTAATGCTTTACAGCCTAAGTTGACATAATTAATGGCACAATTACACCATGACCATAATGCTTTCCCTAGTTGGATGATTTTTCAAATGAATTGTTTACATGTTGTTATTATCAACCTTTGAATCCCCTCCAACCAGATATATCTGAATATGTTAATAGCACTTCTATCCCAATACTTTCAACTATTATTGACCTTACTTTCTATAATTCAACTCATTCTGAAATGTCACTTATCCTGTTACTGTTAGAAAAGCCTTTTCACATATGATTTTTCAAACTGCACTGGGCATTCAAGTACACTTTTGTTAACTTGTCAATGCTCATACAGGACTAGGTTATAATTAATTACATAAAAATAAGGAATGTTTTCTCCTATTGATATACAGTACTTAATGCTCCTCTTCCTTCAAGAATAGCAAAAACTAATTAATATATATACATATGTATCAATCACAAATTAGTTATTAGATGGAACAGTCCCATGTTACGTCTTTATGAAATGCTTCTCTACCTTACACTAAACACAGCACGCATAAATTACTTTATAAGCATCTTATATATGCACACTCCTCTATCTTATATTAAACATGGCCAGCATGTATAAGATTCATTGCAAGCTTCTTTTATATGGACACTCCTCTGTCATACACTAAACATTTCGTACATTAGACCCATTGTAAGCATCTTTTACATACACACTCCTCTACCTTACACTAAATGTAGCAAGCATGTATTACAATGTAGGCATTCATTATTTGCTACACTCCTCTAACACTGAATACAGACTGAGCTATGTGATGATCTGTTATCTTTATATTAAAATACCCTAAATCATGTGTATATAAACTGTTAATTCACTTTGTAATTGTATGAAAACAAACCATAAAAAAAGGGTCACTATGGCGATGAAACATACAACATTAGTTAACATTCACACACTGTGTACGTTTGTATTCACTACAAGTCATATTGTACAAAAAGCATGTCCTAACTCATCACTGGTTATTTAGTTTTTAATTAGTTTTAGGAAACACATTTATTATTTCTTGTCCTTGTAAAATTTCAGATGTCACTATCATCACAATACTTGTGCTGTACCTCAAAATAATTTTAATACATAACCAAAACAACAAGGACTCCTTTTGTGGAAATATATTTTTCTTCTATTTGAAGATTAATAACTCAATTAATTACATATTCTCTCAGTATTGTTTTAAGACTATAAAATTAAATATTATTCAAAGCTATAAATTTGTTAACAGTCATATCACATGAATGTTTCATAATCATGTACAGTTTTTTTCCTTGTACCTTCTAAAAGCAAAATTGCTCTTATAATACCAGTGGACAATGATTGTTTCTATGAATTCATAATTAGATTATATAGATGTTATAAAACAATTTCCATCTTCTTCCTAGCAAGTTTCCTTAGTACTAGGTAAATGGAATTTTGCTGACACTCACATCTTTAGCATCATATACAGAATTTAAACATCAAGTTTTCCAGCTGTGAAACCTTAATGACCTTCTTCATTTTCACTAATTTCAATTTTCAGCACAATGGTAATCTAATGATTCTGTAAAAAGTTGCTGACCTAAAATCATGCCAGGCATAATTGAATTTATATTTCTGTTGGAAAAAAGAAATTTAAAATTGGTAACAATGTTCAATGAAACATCTGTACTTAACCCTGTTTTCAGAGTGATCCTAAATCTTCAAAGTGAATAATGTATATTATAATTTCCCCCTGGCATAATCCATAATCCCACAAAACCAGTTTTCTGCCCTATCTTTAAGTTTTTTTTTTATTTTGCTATAGAAAACACTGGAATTTTTTAAGCAATATTTTTATACTCAATGTTTCTCTAGCCTTCTGGTTATTTTTTGGCTATGCTCTTCCACTGTTCTAACAGACCCTTTATATTACTTCTAAGCTTGCTGTCTTGGTTGGAGGTACACCATGAACATCCATATTTTAAGCTCAGTGGTGACAATGAGTGGAAGTTTCATGTATGTAGCTGAAAATCAGTACTGCAGAGAACAATCCATGACACAAATTTGCAATAGATAATCAAAATGGTTCTTAGCTCAACTATTATGAGAACAGTTTTTTAATGATGTAAAATGAACACAAACTATTGTATAACAATATACGTACTTCTAATTTATATAGAAGGTTTCATGTATGATTTTCAAACATTTTTAAATTTATGAATAAAAAAATGTAGTTGGAAGAGATTGATTACTTCTAAATATTAGCTTTTCTTCAATAAAAACAAACTTTTAATTTCATGTCCAAGCAACACATACTTTCCAAATGTGCCTCTCAAAAGAGTAAGCTGAATTTTTTTATATATGTTTCAAATAGTTCTCAGTTTTCAGGTATTTCACTCTAACAATATTTGGTATTTTCAATCTGAACAGTACCTTATGCAAACATGGACTAAATGGCAAAGTCAGAGACTCAAAGTTCAGGTATAGACAGCTTACATTTAGAAATACTGACTAGAGGGAGGGCAACCAGTTAGCAGATACTCTTAACAAAATAGCAAGACTGACTGTCACAGTTATAACACCTCCACAGCTGAAAATATGAAGTGTGTTCAGCAACAAGAACCTTGAACATTCCAATCCATGACCTAGCATACTGACCACTAGGCCTTGGTCAAACTTTCATTAAAACAATAAATCTCCCTACAAATTTAACCACTTTAGGTAATAAATTAACAGAACTCCATCTTTTTTGTCAATCTTTTGTCACACTGAAAATAAATTTAAGATATGGAACCTATTGTACATGTAACCCAAAAATGGACTGACAAAGAAAAAAAGAAGTAATTAAAAAAGCTTGTTGAAGCTAGCTTATTAAAACTCTTTCACAAAATTTTGCTTGAGGCCTTTCTTCTGCCATGACTGTAAAACAGATCATTTAATATAAACTGTTAAATGGCTCTATTTTATGAGACTTATTTATCTAAGTAACATACAAATTGTAACCTATAAAGCATCAGAATAACTTCTTGACAGTTTTAAACAAAATGAGGATTATTCTCAGTATCTGGAAACTATTTTGAAATGGAACTCGTTCTTCTAAAACTCATTAGCTCTAAATTAACTTAATTTAAAGTTGATTGATGCCATTTGTAAACCTTCCTTTATCACATAATCTGTCAATCTTTGTTGAAAAGGAAGTTTGTTTTTGTAAAGTACTCACTTTGAGGATCTGGTCAAAGTGCTTGCTCATGAACTGTTGCTTGGAGGGCAGAAGATGTGTAAAATGATTCTTTACCATGGGTATAAAGTAAGCCACAAGTTGCAGGCACCTAGAAGCTAAGGCTGGAAAAGTACGAATAATGCTACAAGTCATATGAAAAATGTTATTTTTATAACAACATTATGAAACTATTACAACAATCTGGATATTCATAGAAAAAAATGGGATATGTCATATTAAAAAAAACAAAAAACATAGCAAACTTTTTATTCTTCTGAAATAAACATTTTCCTAACCTCAAAATATTAGTAGTTCCAACCACGCATTTAAAATATGCTCTCAGTTCTTATCACAATTCTTAAAACAAATATATATATATATATGTTGCAGGCAGAGGAATATTGAATAGGTTGGTCTTTTTCTCAACTCAGAAGAATTATTCCCAAACTGTTACAAATAACTTTAAATTCCCTAAACACATCCTAGTTGTAATGACAGTATAAAATATTTAGTTATTATTTATTTTAATTCAGACTTTCGATATAACTTACAGTAAGAAACTGATAGAAAAAGCTATATTTCTAATTTGTATGTACAAGCAGCAAGAAGACACACATAAGGTTATTTATTTCATCTCACCAATAACAACTGATTTCAGTTTATCCACTACTACACACAAAACATTAATAAAGCAAGAAAGGTGACATGAAGGGAAACAAATAAGAAATGAAAAAGAAACAGAATTTAACTCACCCTGTATAAACAAAATATTCTGTTTCATCTACTTATATTTTGATTGAAAAGAGATAATATATTACACTCTTTTGCTTTCATCTCACTTCACTTACCTTACTTTTACTCTAAGTTAAATAGTTAAAGCATGTCTAGTTTTATATATTTAACGTTTTGGTACCTTATTATTTTCTTCAAAGGCAAACACAAGCTAAAATGAATCCTTCTGTGTAAATGTATTACCTAATAGGTAAGTACATAGTATATATTGAATTAGATATTTTCAATATAATTATTCAAATTTAATGTAAACTTTTCTATTAAAAGTACTTTTTTTTTTACCTTATTATATTTTCAAGTTCTTGGTTGTTTCATTTAATGAATAACAAAGTGTTAACTCTGGTAAAAAGTACTTTCTTAGCATATCCAAAAAATTAACAAGAGGTAAAGAATGAAGAAATAAAAACACCCTTTTCTGATGCTTTTCAGTACCTTGTTCAAGGAAACGTCAAGTTATTTTGAATTGGAGCCCTGCTGCCATTATTCAACTGTTGCTATATTATCAAATTCCTGATGATGCTGAATGGACTCATACAAAATACATGACCAAGCATCAACATGATTTCATTTTCAAATTTTCTACACTTCCAGCAACAAATGTTATCTTTTCTCACAGATTCATTTAACTTGTGATGCTATATCATTTTTCTCATACTTGAAAACAGATAATCTAAGTGTAGCTGAATTTTCTTGCATAATGTGCTAGATGGACTCTGTCATGTGTTCTTGTGGTACCTCGTGGAACAGTACATATATATAACACTTAAAAGTTCTAAATAACAATGTGCCATAATTCTCCCAGGAGGTTCAAAATGGTCAGCTTTAAAACAGTCACTTTGTTTCAAAGGTATTACCTTTCACATACACCCTAAGAACATTTTACCAAAAGTAATATTTATTTGATTTTTTTTTGCATAATCTGCTAACTGTGGATCCACAACATTTCAAAAGTTACTTTATTCATTCAATGGAAAAGCCTTAATCACAGTACTGGCAAAATTCTCTACATACAAAATGAAAGACAGGTTTCTTTTTGAACCCTCCGATATTATTAAAAAATAAATGTTGAAAAGTTACCTCAATCTCAAGATGTTGCTTTCTAACTCTTTTTAATGACATAAGCTAGAATGGTAGGGTGCACAATTTGCTGAAACCTTTCACAGTAAACGAAAGAAGCACCAAACTTCACTCACCTAAATTTCTAGTTGTAATTGTTTTCAGTCCAGTTAATTGTATTGCTCCAGCTCCAAGCACCAACTGGCAAGTCCGGGAATTAAAATTCTGAAAAATTATTAAAAAAGTAAAGTCCTTTTACAATCAAGCTAAAACTAATTAATACAGATTTTTTCTTTTCTTTCCAAAGAGAAAGGCTAATAAACAAAACAATGGCTAATAGGTTATGTAAGTGAATTACCATATAATTTAAAGAAAAATATTTGTCATATATAAAATTGCTTTTCTGTGATTACTATGTAATTTAGCAATCTTAATAATTAATCAAAAGTGCAAAGATAGACGTTTATATGAGAAATTTCATAAATATCTACAAGTGTTCAAAGGAACTCTACAATATCTGTAGGAAAAACACAAAACACTTTGATTTACGAGTTAAGCATGGACTTCGTTAAAAATTACAATACGAAAGCCCCTTAGACAATTGTGTTTTGTTTTTATTGTAACAAGTTTACCAATAAATATTTGGAAAAAATTATTTAAAATGCTGAAATTTTTACATCACATTATGAACCATATTTTGTAGAAACATGTTTTTTAATGTGTATATTGTAACCTCACTGGGTCACTAGTAGGCTTAAGGACTTATAATGCTAAAAATCTGGGGACATAGTACAGTTAGCCCATTGTGTAGCTTCATGCTTAACTGTGCATATTTTTTCTCATTTTCTTTGTAACAATAGAAAGTTAGATATAAAATTTTGAAATGCAGTTGTTTTTATTATTCTTGGTCTGCTGTCAATCATGATGAATAGTATTCAGAGCATTCTCTTTTGATTTCCTGATGTTGGCTGACTTCAAGAATTTCCCAATGAAGGAGGTTGTAGCTTGCCTAGACCTTCCATTTCTAACTGTAGCGCTCTCCTAAGCACTACAGAACTTATAATGACATATAATGCACTGCCACACCTAGTACACATCCATTAATCCACATGATTTGATCTTCAAGAGCAACATGGAGTATAAATGCAAACATACACACACACACCAGGCAAGAATATTTTAACTTGTACTGTTGAAGTGTGAACAGGGTGCTAGAAGGTCATGGATTTGAGAGATAAGATATCCTGGTAAAAGTGCATAAATTCAATCCAAGAAGTAGTCACAGAATTTGGTCAAGTGTCATTCAGCAGTCTTAGGAAATCCATATGACAACATTCAGGGAAGATCCACCTAAAAGTGCTGTCACAGTGTGACAGTATTAGGAACTTCGTGGTAAATCATTTGACAGCCTTTGGAACTACATAGTACAACATTCAGATCAGATCCAGAGCAGGGTGTGAAAAATACTTGCTTGTTAAGATTGTGAAAGACTGACAGAAAGCATCATTACCACAACATGAACCTGACTTTCTTGGATTTAATGCAATGAATCCATATTTATTAACTTGTTATGCCAACTTTGAGGGATTGCACTGGGGTTTATTACAGTGTACACTGCATCTTGCACATAGGGCATGAGGTCTATTGGCAAAGTGTCTGCTCCTGTAAATGCTCCATTAAATAGTCAGATATCTTAAATACATACACATCCCAGGGGCCTTGATAGAGTATTTTGGGTTAGCAGGTCACAATGTACATCCAGCAGGATAAAGCTTCAGCCGCAAAGAAATGACATTTCATGTCTGGTTTCAAAGTATCTATAGAGATATTTTGGAATAGCTAATCCACAGCCGATATCTTAAACCTAAAGTGTCTCCTTGGAGAATTATTTTGAAAAATTAAATCAGTTTTAGGCAACATCAACTAGCTGAGCTTTCAGAGCAAAAGAAAACAAATGCTTCAGAGGCCTGTCAAAGCAGTTTAATACAGAACAGCAGCATTTATTCTGATTACCGATCACTACAACCTCCTTTATATGTCAGGTAAAAGGCAACTGAAACAGGATATATCAACCTCTTCACGCAAGATTTCTTAATTTTATAGAAATTTTAAACAACCAATAAAGTCAAACCACAGTTCAAAACAAGTTACCATACGAGTATAATAATATGTACAATATAAACAAATTATTCACTACATAACTGATACAACAGTTAGTTTTTTTGAAAGACTATTACTTAATGTTTTTTAAATCAAAAACAATCATAACAATCTTTTAATATACACTATGGTACATTTAGGAAAACATAATATTACACCCACATATTCTAACAGTTTTTAATAAAAAGAAGTGTAAAGAACTTACCTTTAATAAATCTAACAATCGAGTCAAAAGATCAGGAGAAACCATTGGATTGTCTTCTGCACACTGACAATATTCGACTATCATTTTCAGAAGTATTAACACTGTCCTAAGTAACGAAAAAAAGGAGGATATATGGAAATATGTCGAACTTTCAGGTCTGTTTTCTAAGACATATGGACTTCACTTACTTTTTTTTTGAAAAATTCCTTAAAACTTAATTTTGTTTTATTTTATATTCAACTAGAAAAAATATCACGTTTTTGGCAAAATTTAATGATGAAAGAAATAAAGTATGACATCAGTACATATTTTTTGTAATGCTTAAACAGTATTATGATTGTTGGAATGTCTGGATTCCTTTGTCTATATGTGAAAAAGTGTATCTATAGCTATAACTGATCCTAATATTCAGAACTACTTAGAAAAAGCTTAACAATACTGTTGTAGGCTGTTTTTAATTTAGACATTTGTACTGCTATTCGGCCGGATGGGGGTTTGCTATCACATTATGAATCTGTGGCTTAACATTTGGAATTTTTTATCCATTTTTACAACAGTTTAAGAAGTATAAAACTCAAGTTAGGCTACAATAGATGATGATAATTGATTTTTGAGTTTGTTAGCAAGTAGCATTGTGTGTATTATTATTTTACTTTGTTAGCAATATAAACCTTCAGAAGTATTGCAAAGCCAGTTGGCCAGTTCATAGGCTATATCAAAGCATTTGTTGACTCGCATTCAAAATCATATTGAACTACTATTTTATTAATTTATATCATTAAGTTTGATATCAGACTGTAGATTATAATTCAAATTTTCATATTATACATTATTTAATTTTTAAATTTAAAAGTAAATATTAAAAACACACCTAAACATCGATTTTTGTATGTCACATGTTAAGTTGAATGCACCACTGATTCAAATTAGATGTTTGTGATGTCAAAATACAAAGTCTATAGTTTTGTATGAATTAGGAACTCAAATTACTGATAGTGACAAGCTAGAATATAAAATAAGAACATCCTTATCTTTTCTATTTGCCGAGATATTGCTCGTGTACTGAATCAAATACATTGGCCCGGCTCACCTATTTCCATTTTTGGAAACAGTCTCTTATATACATTTACTTCTATATATGACATGTGAATAACCAATCGAAAGCTCAGAATGTCCCCCTAGTGGCTTTCTCAGCCATTTTCAAATATAACGGCATCATCTCTTTCTTTCGAGACAGACCTTTGTGTTGATAAGTTGAGTTTTTAACCTGTTTGAAATTTCATATTTTTAAGACCTAAATTCAACTTAGTTACTAAACTTGATAAATTATAATGGAATTCTATGGTATTGATATAATAATCTATGATTTTTTGATTATTCAAATGTATATATATAAAAAACCTAAAAAAATTTATTTCATTCCACACCCACCACGTGCAAAATTTCTTGAGGCTTAGCAAGCTACAACAAGTAGCAATCGAGTACAAAGGTCGTAACTAGAATAGATAATTGTTTGCTTTACGTCTTCATTTACTGTTCTATGTTTTCAGAAAAACAAGTTTAAGAACTTGTTTGTAAATAGTAATAATCTATGTACATATATAATGTATAATAATTGAAATGTGACTGTATTTTATAAAATACTAGTCTTCTAAACACAGCCAAGACAGGTCACTTTGTAAAGATTAAAGGTCAGTTTTATATTATTGGATACGGTAATATGAGTGCACATGCTCCAAGTCATTGAATGTTCTGTATTGTTATACAGGCATGGCTGAAAAGTCAATATAATAAAAATAATAAATATATATATAAATGTATAATGTTATGAGATATAAGCTATTTAGTCTAAACATTTATGTTTTCATGTTATAATCTGTAGTCATTCTAGAACACAAAAGGTATAATTTATATTTATTTCTTAATTTTTATGGTGGTTATGAGGTCAGTCAAATCGACCGAACCCATACAGAGATTCGTTAGTGAAAATAACATATAAAATATAAGGTTTTTTCTTAAGAAACATTTGATAACTATCTGGACATCTTAAGGATGTCGCATGTGAAATTTTAAAATTTTCTGATGCATAAAAGTATTTTTAATCTTAAAATGAAACTTACTTTGCATGTTGGATAGACAATATGCGAAAAGAAAAAAAGGCATGAGAAAAACATTGCTTAACAAACCTTAAGACTTAATAAAAAAAATCTGGTATTTTGCATATGAAAGCATTGTAATGTTTAATGATAATCTACCAAATTTCGTGAACATACGCTAACTAATTTAAAAGTTATAGCATGAAAACTATAACAAGCACAAAATGGTTAGGAGGTCGGTCCCAGGGACCAAGCCCGTGCTGAAAGAGTTAAGACCTAACTTGTTCTCAAGTTTCGATGTATCATTTTAGTTATGTTTATTAAATAACTCAATATTCCTAACTTGATGTTGTTTAGATATTTCAAAAGAATTAGATATATTTCTAAAAAACATACTTCACTTAGCAATTAATATTTTATAAGAGGTTTATAGTCTGGTAAGTGGAAAAACAAATTCAACATTCTTGGTAATACAAAACACATGGTCTCATCTTGAACAAAATTTTGTGTGTAGATAAATAACTAAGACATGTAGTTTATATGGCACATATTTATTTATATAATCATAGTAAACTGAATATGCATCTGATTTTGTCATAGCAATATAAAAAAACCTCAAATTAGTTTCACCAAAAGCTTGCCTCATTCATTATTTCAATTTATAATATGCAATTCTGTTTTTAACTTGGGATACTTGAAATTCAAGATAACATGACAATTTAACTGACTTCTCTGCTCCATATGTACTTACCCAACAACTTTGAATGTTTCATCACCCACAATCAAATGATCTCTTGGATTTCTTGGTGTATTTATACTATTGCTCTCTCTTTTAGGAAGTGTTAGCATACCTACAAACAACAATACTTAGGTTCATAAATACATCAAGTAAACATAAAGATAAAATAATAATATTAAAAAATGAAATACACTATATGATAAATATATATATCTACTTATAGCAAACAAAATCAAATACCCAAAGTTGATGAGATTTTCCTTTATAACTGGTTTTAAGCACTGTTTATTCATGAATGTGCTTAAACTTCATAAATACACCATAAAGTTTCTAAATAGAAAAAATTTAAAAATAAAATGTACTATATAATTCAGCAATAATGAATATATGTATATCTGCTTATAGCAAAGAAAATCTTATAACCAAAGTTGACGTGTTTTAATCACAATAAGTCATGTCACAGATAAAATACGGTGAAATTACAAGAGCCAAATTCTTTTGGCTTTTCCAGATATTTTGGTACAATTACTATTTGTAATTTGCAAAAACCAACTAGTCACACCATACAATATAGCAACATGTTACTTTCATATGACAAATGAGACAGGGCATTGCTCTGTAAATTAAACAATGAAGATGAATGACTTATGTTACTTAATTTCAAATTCACAAAAAATGTTTATTACCTATATCAAACTTCACAAATTTACTGCACTAATGTTCTATTTTGTTAATGTTTGACTTACTAAGAGAAACAGTAATCTATAAGCATACCTGACTGTAATACATGATCAACTAAGTCTTGAAATTCTACCGGAACATCAGCTTGTTTCCATGGTTCATTATCTAGTATTAGACTGAAACACAGAAATATAGTTGTAGAAAAAAACAGATGTTAAACGATATTTTTGGCAGTCTGCTTCAAAGGAAAATTTTTATATTTTTAAATTTGTAGAACTGAAAGAAAACTCTGATAGACAAGAAGTACTGAAGCCAGATACAATTTTCCAGATAGAGACTCTATATTTTCATCAGATATTTGTTTGTTGGGGTCAGTGTTTTAATGAATGTTTTGTTTTAAACAATGCCAGTTGCAACTTTTATAACAAGATTGCTTCAAGGTGATAATTTCATAAAAGAAGTTTTACATATTTAGTTTTAGAAAGAATCTTTTTACATATATGGTTCTGAAAACACCAGTTGTGAGCTTATGTAAAAAGTACGATATTAGAATAAATCAGTGTTTTTCAAACTGTGGTGTGTACCTCCCTGAGAGGGCATGGCCTTATGGCAAGAGAGCCCAAAAATAATAACGGAGGAAACAGATGAGTTGGATATAACGATAACCTAACAAAGCTATCACTTTGCTTTTGAAGCTTTTTTTTTGCTCTCGCATTTACTCACTCCTTACAAGCATTTTTTATTCAAAAAAATTACTAAAAACAGGTAAATAAGATGATTTTGCTGTTATCACTTGCAGAAATTATTTTAATGTGAAGGGATGGGGCACAATGGAAACTTTGCTGAGTTAGGGGAGCACTGCTACTTAAAGTTTGGAAAACACTGGAATAAATGTTAACAGGACATATATAGGTATGTTTGGGGCAAATGTCATAATTTTTAATTTGGAATATAGTTCAGTGTCAGATAGTTCTGCAGATATCACAATTTAATTAGGTTGTCCGGTTGAGTATGACAATGATCAAATGTTTCTGTAAGTCTCTTATTTCAGTTTCCATGTATTCTGCATCAGCACCTAATGATGCAACTGTCACAACACATCAATATTAAACGAAGGTTATTTTTCTAATAATTTCTAATAAATCCTATCTAATAATATGTGGTAGTAAACAGTTGTGAACTTCTCTGATGATGGCTTGAAATTTAAGGACTTGGGCCAGGCAGTAAAAGACACTTCACCTATAGCTGAATTAAAGAAGTTTTGGAATATCAAAAGACATAGTTACAGCATAATTTCAATTCATCAATTTATTCCAGCAAGATGAAAGGTAATACACTGTATAAACTTATATTCTGTCAGAAAAGATGATATATATTATGTACAATAGTATGATTTACAGACAAATGATACATGATATGTACAACTGTATGGTTTTCAGAAAGATGATACACGTCACATTCAACAGTATGATTTTCTTTTATTATGTTTACTTTGCACCAAAAATTTCACATAAGTAAAAGTGTATTTTTAACCCTATCTCTACGGGTCTTCCTATGGTCATGGGTCAAAGGCCATGTCATCACATTTGTAGACTCACATTAAAAATTTTATTGAACTACTATTTTAGGAATGTATGTCAATAAGTTTGGTATCAAATTGTAGATTATAATTCACATTTTAGTATTATATATTAGTTAATTTCTTAATTTAAAAGTAAAAATTTAAAAAATCCTAAATATCGATTTTTCTGTGTCATGTGGTATGTTGAATGCAGTATTGGTTCAAATTAGACATTTGTGATATCAAGTACAAAGTCTATATTTTCTTATGAACTAAAAATTCAAATTACCAATACTGACAAGCTAGAATATAGGATAAGAACCTCCTATATTTTCTATTTTCTGAGATATTAATATCTTTAGTGAAACAATCCAGGTGGCCCCACCCACCTCTTTCTTGTTTGAAAATACTTGCTTATGTACACCTTCTTTACCCAATGACGTGTGTGCAAAGTTAAAGCTCAGAATGTTCCCCTAGTGGTTTTCTCAGCCTCTGTTGAGTATTTACATGGTAAACCTTTTCTTTTCACCCTGTTTTTGACACTAAGAACATGCGTCATATTTTGAGCATATTGTTTTAGTTATTTTTTTACCTCTCAAGTAATGACAGAAAAGGAAAGCTGCAAACACTTCAATCAACCATGCTGTTATTTCAGGGATAAAAGAAATGGATCAGTTTTATCTAAGCTTAGTTAACTATTATGTTTATTAAATTTGTATATCTTTCCTGAGTCAGTTGAACAGGTGTTTTGGTTAGTTAGTCTTTTTGAACCTAAGTCTTCTTAATCTATTCGGTTTGCTGCAACAAAAATCATGACAAAACAATTTCATGCAGTAGACTTCTGTTCCACCCCTGCTGTACTGTTGTTTTAGAAGAGAACTGTGCAGTTGCTTACTCAACCATCAATTATATTTTCTCAAATTATTTTTGTTATCTTGTTATCTAGAAAAGTTCTGTTATTTATGCTTCATAGCAGTGGAATAAACTTTTGTGCATAATAAAACATGCAAGTTGTGTTAAAACATACAAATTTAGTTTAAAATACAACTGAACTTATAGATGACACATTCGTCTGTGAAATTTAACATGCAAAGTGAATTAACTGTGTAGTCAGAACGTGGATTATTCTTGCATCACATTTCTTTTATCAACAGTACAAGGAGGGGCTTGGTTAATACATTTTTTTGCATAATTGGACCAACTGAAATAAACATAAACACTTGCTCATAGTTATCAAAGCTCATATATGATTTGTTATCACAAATTAGTCAGTATCACATATTTGTTAACTGTTACCATGGGTACTTTTACAGACTTTACTAGGTCTCAAATCAGTTTAAGAAGTAACTGCTAGTGGGGGTAAGATATTTTTTTCTTCTTCTGATGTCTCAAGAGGCATGATGAATTTAATAATTTTCAGAATATATGTATGGGTATATATGTATTAAGAAGTCAGACTTGTAGTTTTTGTTCAATTATGAAATATGGGATATTTCATATCGCATGAACAGAGCAAGCATGAATGACTGACATTCTGGGATTTCTATAACTAGATTATTATTCTTGAAAAATTGTTAATTATGTTTTAGCCATTCTTTACCCCTATCGCCATGGGGATTCTTTACTGTCTATGATGCAAGGTTTAAGTGTCTTACATTCAAAATTTTATCAAACTACTTTTTGTTTATGTTATACCAATTAGAATAGCATAAAATCTTAGCTAATAATCCATATTTTAATAGTATATAAATTTTAAGTTCTTTATTCTACAAGGCAATATTTAAAAAACTCTGAATTTCCCTTAGTGTGACACACGTGACACATTTTCTCTAGGCATCTTCTTTTCTCTATTTTATCCTTCACCCCTTCAAAAAGTCTGAAATTAAATGTAAATTACTCACTATAAAATCATCATCGCTCAGCTAAACTATAATTTTTATAGCCTTCAATTTTGTTTGGTTACAGAGCTATCAAACAGAAAATGGTCAACAAGATTTGATAGCAAAATGTCTGTGAATGATTATAGCCATTTAAGAGGAACCCATTCCGGGTACAGACAGAATACCTGGTCAGGGCACCTGAAAGAAAGGAAAGCATTAGGCAGGTGATATCCCGAGGAAGCAGAAACAGCGATGTGGTGTAGGTAATGGGTGATGAATGTGTGCAGAGTCATACAGATGCCCAATTGTAGAATCTCTTCCAATGGCCGATGAAGACAAGAGGCAAGGAAGAAGGTAAGGTGACAGATATGATATGAGAAAAACGTGAAAGAGATCATGCTGGGAAGGAGACAAAGAGGAATAAGCCAATTGGATCAAATGTCAAAACCAATTGGTCAGGGTAACCAGGGAAAGATCACAGGAAGAGGAAGGTTGCCATGGGATAAAAAGGTGGGAATGAGGACCCTGAACAGAAGCCGTGCAAGCAATATAACAACAGATGGCACAGACAGGACAGGGAGTCTATCCTGATCAGGATGAGGGTAGAGATGTGATATAGAGGATAGGCAGATAGGGGAAAAGGAGGACTGACCATCATCGAGCTGCAGAGGTTGTAGGAAGGAAAGCACTATCCAGATAAAGGATAAGGTAGGAGGAGTGGTACAAGGTCTTGGTAATGCCAAGGGCAAAAATATCCGACCTACGACGATGACTGCAGGCCAGGAGGAGGAAATACACCTTCAAAGAAAGGTGAAACAGGGAATACATAAACAAAGGTTCAAACTGAGATAAAGTGAGGGCATAAAGGACCACATTAATGTCCCATTCTGGGTGAGACGTATGCCTCAGTGGCCAATAGAGCCAGAAGGAACAGATCAACATGCAATGGACAGAGGAATCAAAGACCCTGCAGAAATGGGAAAAAATGTAGGTATGGGATAACGCCACCCGAAACCGAGTAGACTGAAGAACCTCTCTCAAAGAGCCATGTTAGAAACTTGGAGATACAGGCAATCATTGGGTGAGAAGCCTGGAAACCCCGAGTCAATGCTCAGGAGCTATAAACATTTCACTTGCATTGATAGATGGCCGAAGAAGAAGGGCGAATTGAATGGGCTAAATATGAAGCGCAGGATGGAACACCAGTGACTGGAGTTGACAGAGCAGGTCAAAATGGAAGATAAGAGGAAGGGGGGGGGAAACTTGCAGTTGGAGCAATCGAGGGAACCAAGGTTGAGCAGGCCAGTAAGGTGCAAGAAGAAAGATCATGCACAGAGAGGCATGGATGAGAGAGACCACCCAATGAAGTAAACAGATGGGATGGTAAACATAAAGGAACAGATGAGACCATTCCAAGCTGAAGGCATCAACAGCCAAGGCTTGAGGATGGGGAACCAGGGACCAAAACTAAGGTAATTTGTGATTGAGGGTGGTTGCAAAGGCATCGGTATGGGGTGTACCTAGATGCAGACAGAGCCACCGAAAAATGGTAGGATGCAGGGGCCACTTCATGGGATAAATGCAATCCGGTCAGGAAAAACAATTAGCCATGAGACTGAAAGCACCCAGTACACGACACACCATCAACCGAATTCGATGTGTGTGCCAAATAAAATTACATCCATAGTGCAAAATCACAAGGATCTGGACCTGGTGCCACCTTGGTGATTGATATAAGCCACTATGATAGAATTGTCAGAATGGATCATAACCAGCCAGTGGTTGGCAAGAGAAAGAAAATGATCCAAATCCCGATGAACAGCCAGGAGTTTGAGAACAATGATGTGAAGAGAACTCTCCTCCACAGACCAATGACACAAAACCTTCTGGTGATCCAGGCACCCCAGTCCTTGAGGGATGCATCTGTGAACAGAAGTAAATCTGGCCACGGAGGAGGTAGCGGGACCCAGTCGATGTATGGGCCCTGTTCAATCAGTAATGGAGATCTCTACAAGAGATGAGGGAAGGGATATAGAAGTATCCAAGTGATCCCGGGGAAGGTTCCATTGATCGTGAATGACCCAATGAAGAAACCACATATGGGCCCTGCCCAGAGGTATGACAGGGGTCATGGAAGACCACATTACCAAAGCAATAGAACCTCACGAGCTGTAAGTGAGGGAACAGACAGGGTTTTCCAGGTGGTCCATTCCATAGAATGGAGCCGGAGAGGAGAAAGTTGGGGCTTGAATGAGATGGGTGTTGAAGAAAACACCCAAGTGGATAAAGTATTGGATAGGGCAAAGGAAAGACTTCTCCAATTTGACCAACCAGCCCACCCATGCAGCTTCGGCCAGGAGCTGATGAATGTGACAGGCTGATTCCTGTTCAGAAAGAGTAAGAAGCTAGTCGTCCATATAAACATGGAAGTTCAACCCCATAGCATGAATATGCTGAGCAAAGGAGCAGAGCTCATGACAAAACATATATAGTGCTGAGGCTAGGCCAAAAGCTAAGGCATAAAACTGGTACACAACCCCCTAATGGACAAACTGAAGATATGGATGTGAATACTCTGCCACAAGAATGTGCAGGTAAGCATTGAAAACATCCACCTTGGTCATCCATAGACCTGGAGAAAATGCCTACTGAAGAGAAAGGTATATCTCCATGGTAAAGCGAAGAGTGTGAACAAACTGAGTGAGACAGGATAAATCGAGGATAGAACGCCAGTTTCTGGTCTTCTTGAGAACCACTAACAGGCAGGAGTAAAACTCCCGTGAACCTGGTTCGATAGCCTGTTGTGCGATGAGGTCCTGAACCACCTACGACAGACACTGCCATGTCAGGGATTTCGAGGAGAAGGAAAGGTAAAAGGAGGGGGTGAAAGGGGATAATGTACTACTCTGAGAGCACTCTGTGAACCCAGACATTGGCGAGAAAAGGTCCCCACTGATGAATGAAATTCAAGAGATGAGCCCCCACTGGGCCCGAACCAACTATGTATTCACCAGTACTGCTGTTGGCAGATAATGCGTCATTGAATAAATTGTCAAACCGTAGCACCGTGGGAGGGTGGGACAGGAAGAGCTTGGGAAGGGGAAGGTCAGGGAACAGGAACCAGGTACCTCGCTTGGGCACAATTGTGACAAACAAACTATGGAGTTAATAAGTTAATGCACTGAAGACTCAGGAACCGAGTCAAACACATAACACTGAAAAAAGTGCATGTGGAGATCTCAGATAAGGAGGCTGGAGACGGGTCCACGCAAAATTGAGTCACAGCCCAAAAGGTCCCAACAACAAACAAACCACGTTTGAAGCGCGAAAGCTGAAGACAAGCCAACATAGAAGTAAAGATGGAGATGATTTCAGCAGAAAACCCCTGACAAAAGGTGAAGGGAGGAAAGGTACCTTAACAAGGCTGTGAGGATGAGAAAATTGGGCTTGGGTAAGTTGGACAGGGTAATTTGGATTTGCCTCCCAAACAGGTAGAACTGACTCCAACAACTGTTAGTCAAGAAAGGGAAAGTCTGCCTGATGCAAAGCAAGGGTGGACTAATCTGAAGTCCCTGGGGGACTAGGCATACTAACACCATCCCCCAGTTGAGAGGGAAATCGGTCCACATGAATCGGCACAGGGGAAAGACTAAATAGGGTCCAGAAGGTTGTTTCATGTAAGAGGAGAAGGTCTAGGGTCATAGGAAACAGGTGTAAGAAACAAAACATCACATACCTGAGAGATAAAGTCTGAAAAGACCAATGACGGACGAGCTTAATCATCAGGTAGTGAAAGGGAAGGCCCAGCAAACTCTGAGGGGGTGGGAAACAAATGATCAAAATCGTTGTCTGCCTGGTCCAGCTTGAAAGGCTCAGAAGGAAGTGGGACAGAAGTTGGTGAGAGAGGTTGGCTCATATTGCTTAATGTCCCGGCGAATGAGTGACAATATATCCCATGATGAGTCACTGAAAATACAGCATCAAATGCTGGCAAAGTAGTGGTGCGTAGATAGAGTCAAATGCATCACGTGATAGTAGTGCTCTCCTATTGGTAGTAAGGTGACGCACGGTGATTTGCATGAGAGACATGTTGGAACTTTAGATTCCAACAGAGAGATGATTAAGGCTTGTGGCATGCATTTCTAAAAAAGTTTGCATACAGAGGGCAGCACAAAATGAGAAAAGCTGGGTACCGACATATACGCGAGGGTAGGAGGAGGGCATCCAATCTTAAGGGTGAACTGCATTTGGGTGTCTCAACTCTGGGAATTAGTTACTCATCTGGATGATCTTGTAACTCCCTCTACAATGGCAGAACACCACCACCCTACTCTCAACTGAATAGTTATAGCCATCTTTGTGGAACCCATCCAGCAAGTTGCCTCCATTGTTATCCACCCAAGCAGTTTGGAACTGGTAGGTGATAAAGACTCCCATACTCAATTGGAAGAAAGGGGGGGAAAAGTGCGGTGGAGAGTTCTGAGGGACTGCAATGATATATATTTTCCTTGTTGTGAAATATTAAATTATACTATTTTGGGTTGGTTTATGTGAAAAAATACAAACATTTTAACATAAATCACAAAAATTTATTGATATGTCATTATCTTAAAAGCATATATAAATACATACTTTTCATTTAGGCAGGTTTTCATTTCACATATAAAACTTAATACTGTTTCTGATTTGGCATAATGAAATGGTTCTTTATTTGAAAGTTTTATTTTTAAACATGTTCTACAAATTACCTAATCTCAAAATACTACAGTTAACTTCAGAAGCAGTTTTACTATAAGATATATTAAAATGCATGAAACTTGTATTAGGTATTCTTGTATTAGGTGTAACTCTACTTAAAGTTTTTCTGATAGCAAAAGAATAAATAATCATCAAAATAAGCTATAACTGTGTTACATGGCTTTTCATATTATATTTCGAAGAACAGAAATTACATAACTCAGTGTGAGAGAATACATTTAAGCTCTCAGCAGTTTAGTAACTGAATTAATAGTCCTGAATTGCTTACATAACTGCCAAGTATTGTCTAAGCTCATTATCAATTACACTGTTATCTACCTCATTATTCGGGTTCATAAAAGGCAAACATGGATCATTGTCTGGTTATTGTCAAATTTAAGCAGTTTAAGATAATACAAAATGGGTAATCCAAATTTAAATTTTGTGCACTTTCATTAAACAAACATAATGAGTCATCAGTATAATTCAAAGTTTTCCTACTACCATTTTTCCCATTATGACTTCTTTGTTCAGCATAATTTACTTCTTTTATATCTTACAATGTTAAAGAATGTGTCATAGTATTAAACAAAACAAAATAAATCACCTCTCAAAATAAAATAATGTATACAAACAAAAACTTACCTTAGTTTAGTTTTTCTTTCTTCGTGAAATTTAGTGACGAAACGGTTTGCCTGAAAATAATGGTACCAACTACTATTAAATCTAAGTGCATTACGCATAAAATATTAATTGCATAATTTTTCAGGAAGACCAGTACCACTTGGAATCCTTTTACAGAAATCAACACTTCCAATGATTAATATGCTGAAGTGATAAAGACTTTTGTTCTTAAAATCATTTATTTGATAAATAATGCAATAACTCTACACTTTGATGAGATTTGAAACTACACATAATACCAAATCTTAACTAATAACTTTGGCTCATTAAAAATTATCTGTATGAAACTGAATAGTAAAACTTTATGAAATGTGTAAAAGCATTTTAAGACAGTGTTGTAGCTGAAGTAATTCCTTCACTTTGAAAGCACTATGAGACACTGTTGTAAATGAAGTGGTTTCTTCACTTCGAAAGCACTATGAGACACTGTTGTAAATGAAGTGGTTTCTTCACTTTGAGAGTACTTTGAAACATTGTTGTAAATGAAGTGGTTTCTTCACTTTGAGAGTACTTTGAAATATTGTTGTAAATGAAGTGGTTTTTTTCACTTTGAGAGTACTTTGAATCATTGTAGTAGATGAAGTGGTTTCTTCAATTTGAGAGTACTTTGAGACTGTTTTAGATGAAGTTGTTTCTTTACTATGAGAATATTTTGAGACAGTGAAACTTCTTCATCTACAACTTCACTTTGAAAGTAGTTTGACAGTGTTGTAAATGAAGAAGTTTCTTCACTTTGAAAGTAGTTTGACAGTGTTGTAGATAAACTGGTTTCTTCACTTTAGTAATTATAAGAGTACAGGAGAATAATACCATCCAAAGTGGGATCGCACTGACAATAATATACTGATAGCTCATGTTCATCATTTGGCAGATCTTATTAGCAGCAGACTTTAAAGAATACAATTTATTCTTAAACAAATCTACATATTTATATCTGAAGACATAAGAAAAGGTAGAAATTAAAAACATAAAACAAAAGTAGAGAAGTTTAGGTGGCAATACACCTTCTGTATTAAATGTAAATTTGTTCTTTAAAAAAAAGGAAAATTAGTATTAAAAATAAATATTCTATAAAAAGAAATTGGTAAATATTTTGAGTGTTGTAATCATACATGAGTAAAGACACTGTTTTTCATAACCAGATTATAGTTTAAGATAAAAACAAAACAAGAAACTAAAATAATTTACAAAGTAGGATGTACATGTCTTAAAAACTACAAATATCATCACAACTGTTGGTTTGTTGCACACTGACATATTATGGTGACTATGTGAAAAGTCAGATATTAAAAAAGAAAGTTAAGCAACAAATGATATTACAGAAAACTTTATTTGACTATACATGTAAAACATCTCATCATAATGCACAGTTATGAGTCAAACTATCCATGTTGACACTAAGTTTGTTTCAGGAATATTTCGTATTGATGAAGTGTATTTCACAACTTACACTTCACAAATAACTCATTAAAACTAAATGAAAAGTAAAGTAAAAAAAGGTAATACTTGTATTTATATGAATGTCTGCCCATTTCCTTTGTTAATTTCTTATTTATCGTTTAAGGATGGAAAATACTGTCTCAGGTATTGAAATTGTTTACTATTAATCAATTAACTGCTGCATGAGGTTGCATAGCTACAGTTATAGGTTCTTTTATCGCAAGTAGTGAAAATGCAACAATGGTACATTGTTCAATGATAGTGTGCTAGTTTTATTCTGTTGCTGATTTTCATATGTTTTTTCAGGAAGTGCTTACATATTAGTTGTGCTCTTATTATTACAGGGTGATTTTTTTCTTTGAGCACTGTATTTCCACAAATATTTGGGTATTTACTAATTATATAATGTTTTAAACAGTAAAGTGTACAAATCTAACACTTTAACATATGCAAGGAGAAGCAAGTGGTATTTGTCGTACTGGGCAGTGTCCACACAAAATAGTTTACTATGAAAACTTGTTTATTATTCTTTGCAGGAATACTTCCTTAGCTATAAACTTCTGAGTGAGTAAATTGATTTAGGTGACATAAGGAAAATCACACTTAGCTATAATTTATGTTTCATGCATATGTTTAGTTTAAACGAGAGGCTATGTAGAAGGGAATATCAAATTAGTGTTGTGTTTTTATTTTATAACAATTTTAAACATTTAGGTAACTACACTACTGTTTAGTTAAACATCCTTGTTAACACATCGTTATTTGTATAACGTTTTTCCCCTTATAAACAGATACACATAACAGGTTATTCAAGCAAAATATCAAGGAGAGAATTGTTCACATTTGAACATTCCATCAACCAATAATGCTTTGTTACATTATAAACTATGGACCAGAATAATTCCTTCTTATGGGTAGTTGGACAGTACAACAGTAATAATAAAAAAAAAGAAAAAAAAACATTAATAAGATTAAAAATGAGATAAAGAATATTAAAGTTTTGAAAAAATATCATAATTGAAACCTCTTTTCTGGCAAATGAATTACATATGTGCATCATAATGTTGGTGAATAGACAGATTACAAATAACTAAATCAGGATTAATAAGAAATGCTTTACATATTTCCAACACGTTGGAAGTGATACAGAGTATACAGTGAGATGATAGTTCCTAGCAGTTATTTCCTGTGAAATGTTGTCTATAGATCTACATTGATTTGTTCATGATTTCTTTTCAGAATACTTTAATGATGAAAACTACCTAACCTCAAAAGTAAACAGTACTTAGATTGCACATTTGGTCATCATGGTGATCATATATGGTTTACATAAGTACCCAAAGTCACTCCTATTAATATACAAATATGTAATTCAAGAATGGTTAAATTTTGATTCTTGCAAACAATGCTTCAATTAGGTAAAAAACATTTTATTTCTAAGTAAGAATGAACTGTAAAATTATGCTTCAAAAAGTCTCAGATTTCCTTACACGCTCACCTGTGTTTGAAGTGCTAGTCTTAGAGAAGTGCTTCTTCTACCACACACATATTCGCATTCTTTGCTGAAATTCTCAATACTACGTGCTAAAGTACCAAACTCTTCAGTTGACAACTTCTCAAGAGAGCCATCCTAGTTGAAAGAAAAACTTATTAACTTAAAGTAAGTAACATTTATTAAAATCTTAAGAAATTTAAACTTCACCAAAAATCAGGAAATACACAGTGAGAACTTTTGCAGTTAATTAAAAGAGTTACATGCTCATAATGACTGTATAGTATTCAGTAAGAAGCAAAAGCACATGTAAATGCTATAATGGGAGAATTTTATACATTCTGCATAATTTGCTAATATAAATTACATTTAGTATATAATTATCAGACAAAATAGATTGGTAATTTTTTGCTTACTAATTATTTTAAAAATATATTAGCTTAAAGGTAAAAAAAGTGTTAAAAAAATTAATTAATTTAAAAAAAATCTAGTATTTCATTTTGTTGATTAATTTTAACAAAGCAAACAGAAGTCCCAATGTATGTCAATGTTTAATAAACACATCTGAGTATATTCTCAGTTCATAAACTGACAAGCTTTTAGTAAACATTATAAGTCCATTATACACAACAAAGCAGATGTTTTAACAAGTATTTCTACTAAAGATTTGTCTGTGAATTTTTGAAACCTTTATTGAGTCAGTCAGAATGAAAAGTGATTTTGATGCTAAGAATAAAAATATTTCTTTTCATCTTAAAGTTCCATATTTCATTTGCATAAGCCAATAGAACCTCTTAAGTGAATATTGTTTTTTACTGGTAAATCTGTATCTTTTATCTATTATTTTCTCTATCCTAACACTTACTGTACTGAAATCGTTACTGTACAATGAAGTGAAAAGTTGAAAAACATGGGAAATAAAATTAAACAATATCTTTTTATTCTTATTCTTCTTTGAATGTATTATTTTGTGAAATTTAAATTTTGAATATATTCACAGTTTCAACTGTTAACCTTCTTCACATCTCTTTTCTTTTAATTTTATAGTTTCATTGCTTATACCATCCTCCTCTATCAAAATCAAAAATTCCCAGTAAGAGCCAATTACTCATCTGTCATATACACCACAAGCAAAGTGCATGACTCATGTGATCTTCAAGAGTGTAAGCCATAATTCTGCTGGGCCTCATTTTTTTTTTCTTTCACTATCTTAGGAAAATTCTTGTATCTTTCACATATACATTTTAGAACACAAAAAATATATTAGGCACTGGAATAGAATGTCCCAGTAATTTATTTGGCTTTCTAAGTAAGCTATAAACAGGCTTAAAAAATCTGTACATTCTCAGAGCAAAGACCTATGATCACCAAAACCTAATAGTTCTACATTAAGTTTACATGGAAAATATAAATGACAGCTTTCAAATATTTCTATAGAGGAGAAAATGCTCTTTATATTGGGTATAAACATATCCATCAGCCTTGTAAAGAACTGTTAGCGAACAGTATAAAAATACAAACAAAGAGTTGGCAAATTTATTGATATCTTAGCAAATCTTTTGAAATTAAGAAATTAAGCTTTAGATATTATAAAAAACCTGGATCATAAACTATGTTTTGATGGCAAGTTTACCGATGTATTGATAATAAAGTTCATTAAATTTTGAATGAAATGCTGTAAAACCTCATGATATGAGCACATTCACCTAATAATGTGGAGTTATAAGTAACAATATAAAGTTATTCATGGTGATTAATGGCATTAAGAAATTAGATGAGTACCCTCATTAATGATGGTGTTTTATCGACAATAAATCTACAACTGCTGCCACATTATATCATATAACAACTTATTTAACTTAATAATTTTAATTCTGTCTATCTAAACTTGTGATATAATGTCCCACAAGTATGATAAGATTTTGAAATTATAATTGTGCATCATTTAGTATCAGTGGTTTTCAGGGTGATGTATAATTATACAGTTTGAAACTCTTGATTATGTTTTTAGTAAGTATCTATAATCTAACAATTTGTCAATTGATGATCTTACTTTTATGGACCAAATTAAGTTAGCTAAAAGTTATCGTTTTCATACACTGAAAATAATTTCCAATAGGTACTTACCTCCTCTCACACATTAGCTTTTCTAATCTTCCACTGCCTGCTAACGCATTCAAAATAAATTTTCTTACTTCATGCACTGGCCTTTATACACTATAAGTTCGAGCTGCTCATTTAACATGAATACAGCATGCGACAACCTTCCACCAATAGGAGCATGATACACTCTCTTAGAGCAGCTGTCTCCCTCTATCTACTTGACATGAACATCACTTTTTGACATTAAGCTCACAAAAAGCAGAAGAACACCAGAAGTGGGGAGTGAGAGGAGGTAAGTATCTATTGGAAATCTATTTTCAGTGCAAGAAAATGATAGCTTGTGATACAATATATACCTCCACACACACAATAACTAGAATCCTACATTGAGTACATTGAGTGATTGTTGTAAAATAAAATAAGAGACCTCCTGTGGAAAGCATCCATTGAGAATCGAACAGGTGTACTCTGTAATGAAATAGAAGCACACATGTGGGTTCTGGAATAGGTATGTTCTTCACCCTTGAAGAAGTAGAGTGTTGTGAAATTGGCAGCATTGAGGCCTTGAGCTAGTAAGAGAAAGACCTTGGAAAACAACATATAAGGTGTAAATAATCAGCATGAGTCCCACTCCATCTTCAACTGTACAAATGTGACTGGAAACAAACTGACTCTGGTAGGAGGAGTTACTAGTAATATAAAGACAACATGGACACAGATAGGTAACCCAAACCCACATGGAAAAAACAAAAAGCCAACAGCCAGTTTACAGAACTATGAAGATAGAGACATTCAATGAAACATTACTTAACCCCAACAGTACAGATGAGGTTTCACATCCCATCCTCGGTATTACAAGGCAGAGGACCTCACATAAAACCAGT